GGCCCCGAGCGCGGCCCCGCCGAGCCGCCACCTGCCCTCACCTGCCGGTGGCTGGGGTCCGGGAGGGAGACGGTCAGTCCTCCGCGGGGAACGGGGAGATAGTATTAGTATTAGTATTAGTATTAGTATTAGTATTAGTATTAGCATTAGCATTAGCATTAGTATTAGCATTAGTATACAAGGAAAAAGCTGTTACTACTTCTGGAATTACAGAATCCTCTGGGTTGAAAGGGTCTGGTCCAACCCAGAGGATTCTGGTTGGATCTGGTCCAACCTTCCTGCTCAAGCACCGAGGACAACCTGGCTCCTTCCTCTTGGCACCCACCTTTTTTATATATTTATACATATTGACGAGTTCCCCTCTCGGCTGTGTCTCTCTTCTCAAGGCTGAACAGGCTCAGTTCTCAGTCTTTCCGCGTGAGAGAGATGCTCCAGTTCCCCCATCAACTTTGTTGCCCTCTGCTGGACCTGTTCCAGGAGCTCCATGTTTCTGTTGTGCTGAGCAGCCTGGAACTGGACAGCCTACTCCAGATGTGGCCTCATCAGGACTGAGTAGTGGGGCTGGAAGAGTGATGGAAAATTGCAAAAAAATTACAAAACAGCTGGAAGCACAGTTTCAGCCCAACCCAACCCAAAGCATATTTTTCCATGTTAAAACTTTTTATTTGGAAAGAAGACACTAAGAAAATGTTTTCTGCATAGCCACATTTTTATTTTAGCACCATTGACGACAAACCCAATGATTTTATTCACCAGTGTTAAGGCTCTTGGGCACAAACATGTAGCTCCTGCTACAGAGCACATGTGTGTTTTGTTCAAGGCAATTGCAGGTGGGATGAGTGGCACTTCCCACAGAAGACCAGACATAAGCTTTTCAGCCATTTTTCGTGTATTGCACTCCCTAATTCTGAAACAGCTTCACTTTGTACAATATCCTAACAGCTGAATAACAGGTTTGGGGGATCAACAAGAGACAAATTCTTGAGGTGGAAGTGCCTCAGTGAATATGTTGTATCTTCAACTCTACTGCCTAAAAAGGTACATAAAGTAGTTCCACATAATATATACAAGGAAACTCTAGTAGTAGTAGACTATACAGGATATCCCAGTTTTATCTCAATGACTAAGCATCATCCTAGCTACACGTCAAAGTGGACAGTTCTGGAGATTAAAACTACCTAATTTTCTTTAATCTGGAGATTAAAACTACCTTATTTCTTTAAGTGCAGCGTAAATTAAAGAGCATGTTTTCCTGTGCAACTGTACTGGGATGGTTTAATGGATGTAGAAATTCCTGTTGTCTTAAAATGCATTAAGTAATGGAACAAACTGGAGCACAACCTGGCAATGAGGAGAACTGGGCTTATCTTTATGAGAACTGCTGCTGAAACTGTGCAATCTGCTCTGCTCCTCACAAAGCAGGGAATTGTTCACGAGGTCTTAAGTCAGGAGTAGATAACATCCCCAAAATTGCAAGGTGGTTAGAAAACCCAGAGGACAAGCAATGCAAACATTTCACACACATTTGCCAAAATTGCTTTCTTCAAGCCAAAAGCATCAGGCTAATCTTATTCAGGCTAAACTGCAAATAGCCCCCTTGGTCCACACCCCTATGCAGTAAATTAGAGACCTGAGAGATTGCACTAATTGAAATGGATCTTTTCCCAGAAGAATGTGAGCAAGATAGTGATTACACTTAAAAACACCTGAAAATTGGGTTGCAGCACAGCATTCACTGACAGAAATTAATCATGCTTTATTGTCTTGCAGTTTCTACATCTCTGTTTCACCCTCGAGATGCAGCTTGCCTGAGGGAAGAGGCATCTCTGCAACCTTCTACTAGAATTCAGGAAAGAAAGCAGTCACTGGTTCCTCTCCAAATTTTCCATTGCACAAGGGATATGAGCCTTGCTGTTGCAACCCCATTCTCACCACTTGGCTTGCTAGGTGTTGGAAAACCCAAGCTGAGCACTGTTTGGGGGTTTGGGTAGCAGTGCACAGTTATAGGCTTTCAGAAGGCTTTTCCAGGCCTCCTTATGCATGCAGGTATTAACCATGGAAGCATGCCAACCCAAGCATTTCCAGACTTAAGTACTATTCAGATTAGCAAAACCCTACTGTCGTGGTTTACATGAGGGCTATGTTACTGGCATCTTCAGATATGTTGTCATTCCATACAAAAAGGATGTTTTGGTGTAAACTGAAGAATGAATGAAAAACCAAAGCCTGCATACTTTAGTACCTTTAACAAATAAAAGGGTGTCTGCAGTAGCAACAAAGCCCAGGGTGGCAGAAAGAGTAAACTGATGCCATTTTATTAGAGAGCATCTGGAGCAGTATGTTCCAGAGGGGATGGATGTTGGTTGATTATAAACACAAATAGAAATTATGTTCAGCATTAGTTGGAGGTTCAGGGTTTTTAACTATACAACACAAATACCAGAGCTTCTAAGTTTCAGTATCTCCTGATATTGTGGTTTTTCTCAACTTCATGGCATTTTTACTGCATAGGCTTTGCTTGGTAGCTGTCCCTCATAATAAAGTGCTAACTACTGCCACTGCTCTTAGCCACTATATTGACCCAGTGAGATCAAGTCAGAACCACTCATATGGTTAAAAAAATGCTAAAGAACAATTTTGGATGCAAGCAAAAATGAAGGCAGCAGACAAAGCTCATAATCTATGTTGTTTCATATCCCTTAATGAGATTTACATGTTAAGTTAGTCTTAATATTACTCCCTAGAATTTAGACTTTTAAAAATATCTTCCCCTCTCACCTCTTCTCTTTAATATGGTTATTTAGTTGTTTTGTTTGCTTGTTTTTAAAATGATATCTTTTTATTTGTTTAACAGAGGGCAATGAGCAGCACCAAACACCAAGACCAAGTTTAAGCCTTATTAATGTCTTTGTTTTCTTCTGTTTCTTCTACAAATTGTGATCTTCAGTGTTTCAACCATTCTTAGAAGTTTTGTGTGTACAAGGATTAAACTCTCAGGAAGTTTATCATCAGTCTCTAGTGGTACTTGTGTGATAATTAATTAGTACTGACCCAACAGGACTCTTAACTGCAATTAACATTCATATGGATCAGCAGCTTCAGTAAATGATGGGACTTTCCCAGGCTTGTTTCTCTGTAGCTTGTTCTGGGGTGGGAGTCAATAGCTCTGAATTAGCTGTTGCCGCTCAGGAAAGGGATGAGAGGGTCACTGTGGATAGTTCTGGGAAGCTGTCTTCTGAGTGCTCAGAGAGAGAACACCACTCCAACCATAGCGCTTGGAATGCTATTAGGAAAGAGAGCAATCTGACAAATCTCATTATGACACATTCCTGAATGCCAGAAATCCCACATCAAAATGGGTAAGTAGAAGTGCAGAAAGCACAAAGTAAAGCAGAAAAGGAAGCATGTTTAGAACTGGTATATAACAAGTTTCAATGTAGCAAAACCGCAACATGGTACTTCAACATTTAAACAGAGAGGAAAAGTCTTTATAAAGTACAAATCTTTTTAAAGTCTTTGTAAAGTACAGGAGAAGGTTAAATGGGTAACCAGCATGCAGTACTTTGTATCAGCTAAGAACTAGGGAAACTTATACAAGATGTCAGACCACAGGGCTTTTTACATCAGAATATTGTGTAAAGTTTTGCCTTGGGATGCTGTGGGGCACAAAGTTACAGAGGAGCAAAGAGGCACTAGGTGAATTCATAGAGGATAGGTCAATAATTAAACAGTGGATCATGGCAGTTTTAGAAACATCCCTCTTCTGATTTCCCACATTTATAAAGAACTGCTGGGAAACAGTCATTCCATAGCGCCTGTTTCTTAAACTCTCCCATAACATCTGCTCCTGGGCACTGCTGCACAGTTTTTGGCTGGATGGACTTGAACTGAGTCAGGTCTTCGTATGTTCACAGCCAGTCTGTGTGCACAGGGTAACACTGCAAAATGCATTAGTAATAGTAGATATTTAAAAGTTCAGACATATTTGTAATGTTCCATCAGTTTCAGACTCTGCAACCCTTTTTTGTGGCTATTTTGAATTTATTTGCCAAAACCCCACTCATGGAGTAAGGAGGACAAGGAGAAGAGTTTGCAAGATAGTCTCCCTGAATTTATCATTCAGGACACAGGATTTGCCTCTAACAAAATTACATACTCTGCTATAGGAGAGACCTGAACTCTTAAGAAAGGTGAAACCCCTTGCACAGACTATTTCAGGAAACAGAATTTAGATTCCACCAAAATATCTTAGACTCATACCTCTTCTTTTGTTTGGTCTGGCCATTTAGTTGTTTTCTTTCTTTTGCTTTTATGTCTCATGTTTGTTTTGTTTTTAATAAGGGGGCAGTGAGCAATAAAGGACACTTATATTTCTAATAAACAAAGTTTGAGGACTTCCCTGTCTTCTCTCTTTTAATTATTGTTATTTTAAATACAGATTACACTTGTTTGGGTCATCTTCATCCCCACACATCTCTCTTGAACTATTCCCCAGGAGGTCCTGCTGTCAGGCTGA